GGTCTGGGTTCACCACAGACATGCGGTGTCAGAACATGTGCAGCAGGCCGGGTGCGGGGCTCACGCCCGCCATCCCAACACTTTGGGAGGCCAAGGTGGGCAGATCACCTGAGGTTGGGAGTTCGAGACCAGCCTGACCAACATGGAAAAACCCCATCTCTACTGAAAATACAAAATTAGCCGAGCATGGTGGCTCATGCCAGTAATCCCAGACACTCGGGAGGCTGAGGCAGGAGAATCGCTTGAACCTGGGAGGCGAAGTTTGCAGTGAGCCAAGATTGCACCATTGCATTCCAGCCTGGGCAACAAGAGCGAAACTCTGTCTCAAAAAAAAAAAAAGATTATGTGCACCAGACTAAATAGTAAAATTCTTCCTTACCCCTTTCCAACATCTCTAAGAAGGTTGTTTAAAATACTGTGCGAAATGAAAGTCGAGGTCTGGGTGTTCCCTAGTGACTCGTGCTCATCATTATGAGCACCAGCTGACGGGCTTACCAATTACCCTGAAAAGTACGGTGGTTTGATTTGCTCAATACCTTTGAAAGCCTGAAGTCTCCAGTATGCAGGGGTTTGATTTTATGCTTTTGGGTTTTGAGAGTAAAACAAAACAACCATGGAAATAATGTGGTTTTGTGAAACGTGACTGATAACCTGGTTTTTTAAAACATTCTACAATGCACACGGTGGCTCACACTTGTAATCCCAGCACTTTGGGAGGCCCAGGCAGGAGGATCGCTTGCGCCCATAAGTTTGAGAATAGCCTGGGCAACATAGTGAGACCTCTTCTCTAAAAATAAAATTATCAAAATTAGCTGGGTGTGGTGGCTTCCACCTGTAGTCCCAGCTACTCACGAGGCTAAGACAGGGGGATTAGTTGGGGGGTGTAGGTCGCAGTGGGCCGTGATCACACCACTGCACTCCAACCTGGCTGAACTGCCTTCCCGTTTTAAAAAACTCATTAATGTTCCTTTAAGACTAACATACCTGCTGGGCGTGGTGGCTCATCCCTGTAATCCTGACATTCTGGGAGGCTGAGGCCGGTGGATCACCTGAGGTTGGGAGTTTGGGACCAGCCTTACCAACATAAAGAAATCTCGTCTTGGCCAGGTGTGGTGGCTCACGCCTTTAATCCAAGCACTTTGGAGGCCAAGGCGGGCGGATCACCCGAGGTCAGGAGTTCAAGACCGGCCTGACCAACATGGTGAAACCCCGTCTTAAAAAAAAAAAGAAAAGAAATCTCGTTTCCACTAAATAAACAAAATTAGGCGGGTGTGGTGGTGCATGCCTGTAACCCCAGCTACTTGGGAGGCTGAGACAGAAGAATCGCTTGAACCCAGGAGTCGGAGGCTGCAGTGAGCTGAGATCGCTCCATGGCACTCCAGCCTGGGCAACAGAGTGAGACTCCATCTTCAAAAAAACAAAGACTAATATACCTTTAGCACCCCTCTTTCGGTTCATCTCTCTCAAAATGAAAGAACTCAAGTTCAAAGCCACCACCTCAGCTTGCAAAGAACTAGAAGCTCTGAACACCTGGCTGCCCCTCAGCTGACTGTAAGTACCAAGCCTGTGGTTTGTCTTGTCCACAGGCCCACCTCTGTCATAGGAAAGCTCAGGCAGCTGATGAATCCAGGCTGAAATCTTGGTCACGGTCCCAGATGTCAACCAGTGTGGCCCTGCACCTTCTCCTGTCCCGGGATCCACCACCTCTTTCCTGTTTTCCTGCACCCTTAGTGACCCCACATGCTGGTGTCTTCAGGGCTCTGGCCCAGGCTGTCCTCCTCTACCTCCACCCACACACTCTCCACAGAGACTTCATGCATGCCTGGCTGTAGTTACCTTTATCTCTGCCTGCACCATCATTCACCTGCTCCCCTGGCATCTCCACGTGGATGCCTCAAATGCACTTCAAAACCTATCTAACATGCAAAAATGAGCTTATGACTTCTGACCTCCCTACTACATCCAGGCTCTTCTCTGGCATTCCCTATCCAGAGGATGGTCCCACCCTATAAATGCATAGGCCAGAAGCTGAGAAATTATCCTTGACCCCCTCCCTGCTCCTCAGTCTCCTCACCTGTGGTTGCAGCGTTTGGTGGCATCAGCTCACTGCTCACTTCACTGCAGCGTCTGGTGGCATTTAGCCCCCTGCTCACTTCTCAGTACGTGTGCCGCATGGCCCTAACCGCTTCTGAACGCCTAGACACCTCACCCCTACTCACCACAATCGGATGTCTCCCATTCCCACCACATCATCAGCTTCTTGCTCTGTCACCAAAAGCTATCAAATGGGCAGTTTGGGCAGCTCCACCCTGGACTTCCCTGCAGCCTGGACACTGCTAACACAGCTTCTTGAAACTCTGCACCCTGTGGCTGCAGGGAGCACCTTTTAAGCCCCTGGTTCTTGTCAGATGCCCCTGGCCACTTCTTGTTACCCTTCACAGGCAACTTCTTCCTCAGTGAATACAGGTTGCAGTTCTGCATTCTGGACTTGATCCACTCCTTGCCTCCATGGACCTCTTCTGAATATATTACACCCATCTCTCAACTCCAGCCCTGCTCTTTTCCGAGCTTAGATCTATCCCACAGGTACCTCCAGTTCAACAATTCAACGAGGCCCACACAGAGCTCATCACCTTTCCCTCCTGGCTGCTGCACCTCCTTCCTCATGATCATTCTCAGTTGGCGCCAGGACCTCACCAGCTGGGCTACTCACCAGCATCACTCTGGGCTGCCCTCTTCGCTCCCACAAACTTGTCGGTCACCAAGGACTGCTCATTTCCCTTCTGACTGAAGGTACTGCTTCCAATTAAGGTCCTCATAATCATTCACTCATTTACCCCTTCATCTACTCAACAAATATTTATGGAACTCCTATTACAAACTAGACTTCAGCCATCATCAGCTTGCAGGAAGCTCACCCTTTTATGGTGAACCATGACATCCTGCCAGGCAGCAACGACACAGACCATGTGCTAAGAGCTACAAAGGGCTAGTTTAGGATTCTGTGCAAGCATAAAGGAAAGGCACTCAATCCAGCTTTGTGTAGGGAAGACTTCCCCAAGAAAGCCGCATCTCTATTGAGCAGGTGAGCAGGAGTTAGCATAGTGTTTTCCACGCAGGACCCAGATTGTGAGAGTACAGCAATAACAGAGCTTGGTGACACAAGAGAACCTCCCATAGGCTGGGATGGTGGGAGCAAAGCTCGGTCTTAAAAAAAAAAGGTAAGGATCAGGAGTGCAGACTTAGAGCTGTGCTAACTTTACGTGGGCAATGGAGGGGGGTTTCCAAGGGATGCTCAGAGGAGGACAGAGTCAGTGAGTGATGGCTTTCGGAGATCACCCTGTCTGCTATGAAAGCGGTGGAAACAGGACTTCCTGCACTCGCACGAGTTAGGAAGACGTCCTGGCAATCCGAAAATCAAAGACGATGGCTTCCACGTTACAGTAGAGGCTGGGAAATGGCACAAAGGAACCAGTTTCCAGAGAGGATGAAGGAGGGGACACAAGTAGGACTAGGTGACGGTCGAATGCTGGGAGGAGGAGCATTAACCTGTGACCCACAGGCAGGCACTGAGAAAGCCTCTTTGGACTGGAACGTTTCGGAATACCTCCTGAAGGCGCTAGCACTCAGCTTTTTGCTCGTGCATCCCCCGCCTCCCCGTTGCACACTTTTTCGCTGACGTTCCAGCTGTGCATGGTGGCTCATGCCTGTAAATCCAGCATTTCCAGAGGCCAAGGCGGGAGGATCGGTTAAGCCCAGGAATTCGAGACCAGCCTGGGCAAGAAGCCAATAGCCCCGTCTCTAAAAAACGTAAATAAAAATACACCGGAATTGGTGGCTCACGCCTGTAATCCCGGCACTTTGGGAGGTCAAGGTGGGTAATCATTTGAGGTCAGGAGTTTGAGACCAGCCTGGCCAACATGGTGATACCCCGCCTCTACTAAAAATAAAAACAAAAAAGGCCGGGCGTGGTGGCGTGCGCCTGTAGTCCCCGCCACCCGGGACGCGAGGCAGGAGAATCACTTGAACTCAGGAGGCGAAGTTGCAGTGAGCCGAGATCGCGCCGCTGCACTCCGGCCTGGGCGACAAAGTGAGACTCTGTCTCGAAATAAATAAAATAAAGATCGAGAACTGTTTCCGTAGGGTTACGTAGTTGCAAATGACGCAATTACCGACATGGACTGCCTCTGCGTTACTGAGCATAATTCTGGCAAGACCTCAGACCCGTCCATTTAGCTCTTTCGATTAACGGAAAATGTCCAACGCCGGTCGTCTTTTTCCAGCCTATTTGCCGAACTGGACCGACTGAGGCCGAGCAGCCCGGCCGCGTGGCTTACGCGTCACTCGCTCACCCCTCGGCAACCGCGCGAACCCCCTCACCCCGACCGCGCTTCGGAGGGGTTCGCGGACGCCGCCCATGAAACCGGCGGCCGCCCCCCGAGGGCCCCATCAAATACACGAAGTTACTTCCCAGCCGCGGAAGCAGGGGACCCCGCAATGCCGGAGCGTGCGTTCCTCCCGAGCGGACGGCAACAAGCAAAAACACGCTCACACACCCGGGTGCGGCCTCGACGCGCCCCCTGCCCGGCGCGCGGCGGTCCGCGCGTCCCCCCGGCCCTGCCCGCGCCGCCGCTGGGACTCCGCCCCGCAAGCCGGAGGGATCGCCTTTGTCCCGCGCGCCCCGGCCGCGTCCGGCCCCCACGGCGCGACCCCAGGGAGGGCAGGGCCCTCCGCATTCCGCACCCGGCCTCGAGTGGGGACGCGCTCAGTAACATTCGAGGAAAGCCGAGGAATCGCTCCCGCGAGCAGAGAGCGCGGCTCCCGCCCGGCCGGGCCTCGGGTCCGCGGCCTCTCCCTGGGCCTCGGGGACACCAGCCCTGGCAGGCCGCCGGTCGGGAGGGGACTCCGTCCCCGTCTCTGGGGCGACCGCGGACACCCGGCGCCCTTCCTCCGCCCCACCCCGTCCGGCCTCACGCAAACGACAGGAAAAGAGCTGAGACCTTCGCCTCCGACTCAGTGCAGACGTCGCCATCCCGGCTCCAGGTTTCCACACTCCAACGCCTCCGCAACAGCCATCTTGCCCAGAGGCGGCCGACGCCTTTTGACTCTCGCGCCAACCCGTAGCGCGAGGTCGCCGCGAGGAGACTTGTGCGCAAGGACGGAAGCTGACATCCGCGCTTCCGGGAGGCTGTCGGTCCCGCCCCTTCGCGGGGGCGCGCCATTGGTCATCGGCTCGCACTCTCGCGCTCTCGTGCTGTCGCGAGAGGTGCCGAGGGGCGGCCGCCGGTGCGCCTGCCCTCCGCTCCCCGCCCCCGCCCCCGCCCCCGCCTCCGCCGCGGCCCCCGCCTCCGCCTCCTTCTACTCGGGCGCCCCAGCTGCCGCCGCCCCTCCCCGGCCCAGGAGCGGTTGCGGAGCCGCCGCCGCCCAGACCGCGCAGCGCGGGAGACAGGATCCGCACGGTAAGATGGCGGCGGCGGGCCCGGGCGGCCGGGCCGAGCGTCTCCCGGGGCCGGGGCAGGCGGGACGCGGCCGGGGTGCGCGCCGCCTCCGCTCTGGGGGCCTTGGCGGCGCCGGCGCGGGCTGGTGCGGGGTTGGGGCGCGCCACGAGTCCCCGCCCGGACGGCCGCCCCGCGCCGGCGCCCGGGGGCAGGCAGGGATCAGCCTGCAGGCGCGCGGCCCCAGGCGCTGGCGTTCCGGGGCGGTCCCGGGCAGCCTGAGGGCGGGCGCTGTCTCTGGAGCCAGGTCTGGAACGGGGTCTTTTAACCAAATCTGCCGGCTGAAAGCAGAAGCCGAGCGGGCGAGCACGTACAGCGTGGCGTGGAAAGCGGGAGTCTTCGGCACCCGGGTGTCTCCTCCTGCTGAATCTTTTTATGCGGAGTTTGAGACCACCGAGCTCTTCCCGCAAACAGGACGGGCCGGTTCTCCAAAGTTGCTGCTTTTCGTGGGCGCACGAAACTGCCCGGGAGTGGAAGCGCTGTGAGTCCCGATCCCCGAACGGGCCAAGGGGAAAGGTGCCTTCCCTAGGGAGCTCGTAACGTGGGTCCGAGGCCGGGGCCGAGCGCGGTGGCGGAGGTCGAAGTGGGCGGGTCGCCTGAGCCCGCGAGTTCGAGACCAGCCTGGGCAACATCGAGACCCCGGTCTCTGCCAAAAACAAAAAAATTAGCCAGGCGTGGTGGTGCGCACCTGTAGGCCCAGCTCCTCAGGAGGCTGAGGTTGGAGGATCGTGAGCCTGGGAGGTCGAGACTACAGTGAGCCAAGATCACGCCCCTGCCTTCCAGCCTGGGCAACAGACTTAAAAAAAAAAAAGGTCCTTAAGTTACCTTTGATTGTCGTGGGTAACAATTTGGTCTCGGTGAGTTTTGCAGTTGACTAAGTGCGGGAGGTGGGTGTTGGTGCGTGACGGCAGCTCCTGGTCACTCCTCCTTACTTGCTGCTCCACAGCAACTTTTCTTCGGCTGGTGCCACTTTCTCTGCTTGACCTTCAAGGCTGGCATCCTCTAAGTAATGACGATTCTCATTCCCTAGCTACGCTCTCCCTAGGTGGTCTTTGCTGAATTCTTGGCTTTAAATTTCCCCGTCCCCCGCCCTATTTTCCTAATTAATGTTTCCAGCACTGAGCTCAGGATCTGGAATCCAGACACCTGCTTGATTTCTCCCGCTGCGTGTCTAATAGTCACCTCAAACTTGCCCTGCTTCTCAAACCTGTTCTTCTCCCAGTCTTTACTCCTTATTTGTGGTCCCGTCTTCCAAGGCCTCTCATGCCTGAAACCTGTGACCGTCTTCAGCTCTTCCCTTTCTTTTATCCTGTCATCTTCTGTCCAGCAGCAGCCATTGACTCCATGACCAAAGTGTCCTGATCTCACCTGCCTCCGTCTCTTCTGCCGATGTCTTCTCTCACTTGAGTGTCTCCTTAATGGACTTGCTGGTCCGTTCTCCCCACCCTGCATTCATCCTGTTTTCAGCCAGGAGACCAAAATCATCTTTTAGTTTTTTGATTTATTAAAGCACTCTAGCAGTCCTTTGTATAAAGTAGCATCCGTAACACATATATCAGTGACAAAAGATGAAGACAGAGTGGACAGTGGTGTGCCCACTGCCCATCTCAGGTACCCAGCCATTCTCCCAAAGCTGGAACAGCTGCCTCTTGGGCTTCAGGCATCTGCCCCTCCCACAGGTAACCCCTTCTGAGCGTCAGTTTTCATGCCCCTATTTTAAGAAACAAAGTAGTTCAGCCACATATTTGTTGGTAAAGCACGTATCATGTATTTTGTTTTGTTGTTCCTTATAAAACTCATGCCACATTTGGCCTCTCCTGCAACTTGACTTTTTCATCCAGCATTGTTGTATGACAGTCATCTTTGTGACTTTGTGTGACGTTATCTTACTGCTTTATGAAATTCTCTTGTGTGAGTACATGACCACAAAGCTTTCTCAGCAAAGCTAAAGTCTAAACATCTCTGAAACCAAAATTTATGGTTTTGTTTGGCCCAAAGAAGTAGCCTCTGATGATAGGGAGCTCCCCCAAACCCGGGGGAGGCTGTTCCATGGGGAATTGCACCAAATATCACTGTACATTGAAGAATTCCAAATTCAAAACACATCTGCCCAAGGGTTTTAACATGCAGAGTGGTTCTGTGCAGGTGGGTGGCTTCCACACTTCTGCCGATTTGAACAGTGCTGCTGGGAACAGGGTTGTCTGTGTTTGCTGCGTTCTGGTGAGTTTTTCTAGAATATGAATGTATTAAAAGTAGAATTGTTGGGTTGTAAGGAGCACACGTGTTCAGCTTTACAGTGGATGTCAGATTATTTGCATAGCACAGTCCATTCTCCTGACACCAGAGTAGAAGAGTTCAAGTGAACTTGTGTCCTTGCTGAGAACTGGCGTTCTCAGTCTGGTGGGTGTCCCGTGGCAGCCTTCTCTTTCAGTATCTTTCAGTGTGGGATTCTCTAGCTCACGGCTCTCCAGCGCTGCCCTTTGCACTTAGAGGAGAATCTAAACCCCTCCCTCAGCTATGATTTTTTTCTTGTAGAAATAAATCAGAATGAGTTATGCAGAAAAACCCGATGAAATCACGAAAGATGAGTGGATGGAAAAGCTCAATAACTTACATGTCCAGAGAGCAGACATGAACCGCCTCATCATGAACTACCTGGTCACAGGTAATGGCTTACAGGGAGGGTGCTGCCGCATCAATGTGGCTCTCCCTTTGTGGACACGTAAGGAGTGCTGTAGCCCTGAGGTTGTAGTTATTTGTGTTCAGACATTATAGAAACACCGTGATAACTTGGTAAGTTTGTAAATTATCATGTAAAAGATAGTCTTTTCTGGAGATCAGATTATTCCAGGTCTCTGAGACCTAACACAAACCCATTTCTTAGCCTTTGACAGTTTTACTGTTAGATAATCAAGATGATTGAGACTGTTGTGAAGTAAGTATCCTTAAAGCCCAAGCAGTTGATCTCTTCTGGCCAGTCTGGTAAAGTATACTGGCCTGTTTCTAGAGGGTGTGCCCAACTCAGGATGAGAATGGGGAAGAGCAGAAGTGTGCAGAGGGAAATAACACTCAGGCTCTTCTCGATGTCAGCTGGAGGGAGGGCAGTGCTGTTTGTGGCAAGAAAATCCAGATGTTTTTAAAAGGCATAGCATGGCCGGGTGTAGTGGCTCACGCCTGTAATCCCAGCGCTTTGGGAGGCCAAGGCAGGCAGATTACAAAGTCAAGAGATCGAGACCATCCTGGCCAATGGGGTAAAACCCCGTCTCTACTAAAAATACAAAAATTAGCCGGGCATGGTGGCATGTGCCTGTAGCCCCAGCTACTTGGGAGGCTAAGGCAGGAGAATCGCTTGAACCCAGGAGGCAGAGGTTGCAGTGAGCTGAGATTGTGCCACTGCACTCCAGCCTGGTGACAGAGTGAGGCTCCATCTCAAAAAATAAACAAATAAATAAAAGGCATAACATGAAAAGTAAATCTTCCTCCTTTTAGTCCCCAGTTCCCACTCCGAGGTTAATCTCTGTTAAAATTTTTTGGGCCAGGTGTGGTGGCTGATGCCTGTAATCCTAGCACTTTGAGAGGCAGAGGTGGGAGGATTGCTTGAGCCCAGGAATTCAAGACCAGACTGGGCAACATAGTGAGACCTTGTCTCTAGAAAAAAAAATTTTTAATTAGCTGGGTGTGGTGGCTTGTGATGTAGTCCCAGCTACTTGGGAGGCTGAGGTGGGAGGATCGGAGGTTGCAGTGAGCCAAGATTGTGCCACTGCACTCCCGCCTGGGTGACTAAGTGGGACCCCATCTCAAAAAAAATATTTTTGGAAGGTGATGAGGAAATTTAGGCCTATAATTGTGTTGGGGGCAGGGAAAGGGGCACACATGCTGACTTTGAAAAACTGTAGACACTCTAAGAGGTGTGAGTCACCAGGCCACTCAGGTAGAGCTGGCCGTGGACAGCCGCTGTGCTGTGGAGGTGGAGCCAGTATGTCTTGCCTAACCTGGCACCAGATCCGCAGCTGCTGGCGTCTGGACCTATTATCTGTCTTCTCAAAGGAGCCCCACCAACGCACTGGGCCAGCAGCCATTCTGACTTCTTTGGCTAACTGCTTAGAGTTTTTGGATGGGATAACGAGGAATGAGGTATACTCTTCTTGTTTTCTGTATGTATTTTGAGAGCAAAACTTATAAATTACAGAGATATTAATACCGAGTCCCTGAGAGAGTGAGGTTCACATCAGGGGTGATTAATTGAGGCAGTTGGAGTTTCTGGAGATACAAAGTCTTTGCCTTAATTCCTTGCTAACTTTCTTAGCAGTGAAGATGGTTTTTATTTTCAGAGGGCTTTAAAGAAGCAGCGGAGAAGTTTCGAATGGAATCTGGGATCGAACCTAGCGTGGATCTGGAAACACTTGATGAACGAATCAAGATCCGGGAGATGATCCTGAAAGGTCAGATTCAGGAGGCCATTGCCTTGATCAACAGCCTCCACCCGGAGCTCCTGGACACAAACCGCTATCTTTACTTCCATTTGCAGGTATGTTTTAGGAGAGAGGAGTCTGGTTTGCAGATACTTGAGAAGTTAAAGTTATTTGCAGTGATTGAGAAATAACTAGGCTAATTTGCTTTAATCATATTATTATTTTTATTTATTTATTTTGAGATGGAGTCTGGCTCTGTCGCCCAGGCTGGAATGCAGTGGCATGATCTCAGCTCACTGCAGCCTGCGCCTCCTGGGTTCAAGCGATTCTCCTGCTTCAGCCTCCCGAGTAGCTAGAAATACAGGTGCGTGCCACCACACCTGGCTAATTTTTTGTATTTTTAGTAGAGACGGGATTTCACCGTGTTAGCCAGGATGGTCTTGATCTCCTCACCTCATGATCCGGCCGCCTTGGCCTCCCAAAGTGCTGGGATTACAGTCGTGAGCCACTGCGCCCGGCCATGATGTTACTTTAATGTATGTGGGGGGAGGGGTTTGAATTTGCTGTTTTATATAGTTCAGAAGCTGTTTTTTGTTGTGAAAATGCAAATTTGATAACTCGAGATGCAAGAAAAGTCTTCCCTCTGTGATGTACTTCTGGTGGGAACCTGGTGCAGCCCGCCGAGTTCCTGGGCTGGGCGTGTGGTGGGTCAGTCTGGTTTGTCTCTGCCTTCAGCAACAGCATTTGATCGAGCTGATCCGCCAGCGGGAGACGGAGGCAGCGCTGGAGTTTGCACAGACCCAGCTCGCGGAGCAGGGCGAGGAGAGCCGGGAGTGCCTCACGGAGATGGAGCGCACCCTGGCCCTGCTGGCCTTTGACAGTCCTGAGGAGTCGCCCTTCGGAGACCTCCTCCACACCATGCAGAGGCAGAAGGTGGGGCCCATGAGAGGGAAGCCTCCTTCCATTGCTAACGTGCTCCAGGGGGATTCGCAGAGACGCCACATGGATGGGTTTGTGCTGTGGACTGAGAGACAGGTGGCTTCTGGGTCTGGACACTGAGTGACTCCTCCCTGGCTTTTTTTTTTTTTTCTATTTTTTTTTTTTTAAGACAGAGTCTTGCTCTGTCGCCCAGGCTGAAGTGCAGTGATGAGAGCTCGGCTCACTGCAACCCCCGCGTCCTGTGTTCACGTGATTCTCCTGCCTCAGCCTCGAGTAGGTGGGACTACGGGAGTGTACCACCAAGCCTGGCTAATTTTTGTATTTTTAGTAGAGACCAGGCTTCCCCATATTGGCCAGGCTGGTCTCAAACTCCTGACCTCAGGTGATCTGCCTGCCTCGGCCTCCCAAAGTACTGGGGTTATAGATATGAGCCGCCGCACCCGGCCCCTCCATGGCTTTTAATTTTTTATCTTGTTAAGCTAGACTTCATGACCGTTGGAGAGTATTCTCACCCTTTGCTGACTTCTCATATTTATCTAAACCTTTATCCTGCTTATGTCCCAAGTATTTTTTCATTTAAAATCCTGTTTTCTTAAACTTTTCTCTCCTCGCTGCTATTTTTGTGTCTGGTGAACCATGACAGCTCCTCGCCTTTCCAGAGTTAGGCCGCTCTTCCCCCAGGTCCTCTCCCGGGACCCTGTCCTCCCTGCACCGTCTCCCCCCGGGTCCTCTCCCGGGACCCTGTCCTCCCTGCACCGTCTCCCCCCGGGTCCTCTCCCGGGACCCTGTCCTCCCTGCACTGTCTCCCCCAGGTCCTCTCCCAAGACTCCGTTCTTGCACTGTCTTTGGAGGACAGCCTGTCCTGAGTCCCTGGAGATGTTTTCTGAGGCGTGTGAGGAGGCTGCTGTTGCGGCCTCTGTGCTGGTCTTGACTCTCACAGTCCCCTCAGCACTTGGTGCAAGCCTTGCTCAACTGCCATCAAGGCTGGAGGTGACATTTGCTGACCAGACTGTGAGCTTCCCCAGGCAAGGACTATGTGTTTAATATTCCGAGAGTGTCTCACATTTAGGGCTTAGTGTTTGTTTAAACCACGTTTTTAATGAGTGCTGACGCTCTGCAAGTGTGGTGGTTTTATTGGATGTCTTTGTGTTCTAGGTGTGGAGTGAAGTGAACCAAGCTGTCCTCGACTATGAAAATCGCGAGTCAACACCCAAACTGGCAAAATTACTGAAACTACTACTTTGGGCTCAGAATGAGCTGGACCAGAAGAAAGTAAAATATCCCAAAATGACAGACCTCAGCAAGGGTGTGATCGAGGAGCCCAAGTAGCACCTGTGCTTGTGTGGAGGACCCAACAGCGGCCCGCGTCGTGGCTTGCCCGGGATCAGCCCGCGACTGCGGCTTTCTTACTGCAGTAGAGAACTCTTTTTCTCCCTTGTACTTTTTTTTGACCTGGCATCTTTTTTTATAGGGAAAAATGGCCTTTGTGGGCAGTGGAAACTTGCAAGGAAAGGTGCCGTCCCTTGGGCAGTTTGATGCAGATTGCACCAGTACTTGCTGAAGAATCTGGCAGTCTGTGGTTGGCTCTTCCGGCGTTCCCGGGGCCTCTGGCTGCTGAAGGATTTGGTCTGCCCCGGAGGGCCGCATCCCACTCCAAATACAGGAAAAGCACGAATCATGATTCTGCTTTCTGTTAGCTTAGGCAGACATTACATCTTACTTCCCCTAAATCTTGTCAGGCCTTCACCTACAAGTTTTTCCTTACCCCTGTGGTTTTTTTTTTTTTTTTTTTTTTTTCCGTAGGAGAGAACATATAAATTTGTAAATCCTAATTCAAAGACGGCTTGTGTGTGAGGGCATTCAGTTTGGTTTTCCCTTTGGTCTGGGTTGTGTGGCTTTTGGGAGATGTGTGTGAGGGGCTATGTGTTTTTTAATTTTTTAAATATATATGTTGGTGCTGTGCGTGGTGAGAGACTTGTTCATAGTGGATCCACGAACCATCTCTTCTGGGCAGTTTTGTTGAAAATAAAGGTTTCTCTTTGATTTCAAGAATGACCAAAATGGCCTCTAAAAAGTGTTAATCATCTCAAACGACAGTTGTCTTTGGGACGCTCTTCCCCCTCTGATGGCGGCAGTGGCTTTTTTTGGTACCTGTAGCTGGAAAGGCCTCTTGGCCCTGTGCTGAGTAAGTGGCCTTCCATAGAGCGAGGCAGCCCTTGGCCACAGGGGACGCAGGGCCTCAGCGGCCGGTGTGCAGCTGTTGGCACAAGGAAGCGTGTTCAGCCTCAGTGATCTGCCCCTCAGCATCTTGGCAGCATCTCATTTTCCACTGTTGGCGGTTCTGCGGGTGTCCTGCGCTCCCAGATCCGTCCCCTGCTCTGTGGTGGGCAGAAGGGCAGTGGTACAGGGCTGTGTGCCTTGTCTGCCAGTCTGGATAGTTGATGGCACTTGCCTGTGTAGCTCTTGGTGCAGATGTGTCTGGACTCATCGCAATGGGCCGCCGGGCACTGTCGACCCCACTGAGTGGTGCCAAGCATTGGTTTTGTGGATGTTCATGGAACTGCTGACCCATCCGAAGGCGTCCTTTGGAGGCAGTGGAGACTGCAGGTGCATCTGATGGGCGAAATTCTGCCAGCACTTGAATCTGGGATCTCGCCTGATTCTCAAGTAGCAAGGCATCTTGACAAGCATGGCCTCTGGGTGCGGTGGCCAGCTCGGCAGTACCGGAGCCGGTTAGGTGATCTGCTTCTGAGCGGCCATCCTCACCGCGCTCCTGGGTCCCTTGAGTGTTGATGGCGAGGCGTCCACAGCACTGTTCCCGCCTCTAAATGATGCTGCTTTCTCCGTTGGAGCCTGGTGACGTGTTTTCAAGCCCTCTGCTGCTCTTCCCAGTGTGGACGGGCTTTTAGCAGTGTTTACTTTGACCTAGATGGCTCATGTAGTTAGAGATGCAAAGATAAAACTGCTGCAGTCTTTACAGAAGCGTGGTGGCCTCTGGAGCTACGCCTTCGTCAGGTGCGGTCCTGGGGAAGTGGGGCCGCCCTACCCCCGGAAGTGCTGCTTCCGACTCCCACTCTGCCACGCCTGACCCTTCCATGGCATTCTTTCCTCTGAGGTCTGAAGATGAAGATAAGTTGGAGGGAAAGAGACTAACTGGGAAGTGAAATACAGCAGAAGCTAGAAGAAAACTTAGGTGAGAGGTGCATCTGCTCATTTTCTGTAGCAGCACCAGATAATTCAGCATCTTCCTAATTACCTTTATTATTAGTGTATATAAGATCATTTATTGTACACTACATCGTCAGTTTGACTTATTCTTAAAACGAGAGGGAGTGAGATGCATAGCAGGGGGAAGTGTCTCCAGGAACTGGAGGACACGAGTGGGTCCTCACATGCCTGGACTGTCACTATGTGGCTGTCACGCGAAGTGCTGCTGCGGATTTCCAGTTCAGCCGGTGGGTGGCTGATAGGCCAGTGCTAGCATCCGGCGCGGGCAGATGTCGGGGAGACACGGAAGTCTCCGGGGCTGCGCGTTCCTTCCCGTCATGTAGGGGCTGCACTTGCTTTTCTCACGGTCTGTTAGTGGACTGGAGGTCTTCCAAGGAAGTGCTTTGCACACTTTCTCCCTGCTCCTTTTACAGTCTTTGTCTTTGCAGCAAGCAAATGAAATTAAGTCACTTTGGGATAATGAGCATTCAGTATAATTCTGCTTTGTCTCATTTGGCATCTCACTGTTGTGTTTATAAGAATGTAGTTTCATTTTACAGAGTAGTTTATTCTTTTTATGCTTTCTGGTGGAGAGTGCCTTGAAATAAAATGTGAGAATATTCTGGTACTCTGATGCATAAAGTTGGGTGTGAGAATGTTCTGGTTCCTGATGCATGAAGTTGGATGGGGAATAACCCTAGTCCGGAATCTTTGTGAAGCGTAGGGTTAGTGCAAGGCGAATGGAACGAACACATCTTGCCATTTGAATCAGGGTCTTCAGTTTCTAGAAAAGGCTGACATTGGCTGGGACCAAAGTGTTGGTGGCTAATGACTGAAGACGGGTGCTCGTGTGTGTCTGGAGTCCCCGGAAGCCTCGGGAGGCGGAGCTGCTCTTCCCATTCTGTCAAGACGCCGTCTGAAGAAACGTTCAGAACAGTTTTTCTAAGGCAATGTGATGTCTTCATATTCTTACTTCCATTTCTGTATGTCGTTAGCTTTGAAGAGTGGAGGAGCTGGGGTTCCAGAGAGAACCTTAGATGTGTGTTGAAGACAGTGATGTCTTTGGAGTGTAGAACTCCACTCCCTTCTGGGCTGTCACTGCCAAGTCTCCGCATGAACAGACCGGGCAGAAAGCATGGTGGCCAAGCGGTCTGTGTGCTTCCCCGCCGGCAGAGAGCAGTGTGTTCTTCATGATAGGGCCTCGCGGGTGTGGACGCACGGCAGACCCATGGCCAGTGCAGCTGCCTGCTGCTGTCTGTCTTCAGTAACGGCTGCTCCATTGACTGTTCCTGTTCTGATACTATGCGTGTCATTTTTTACAACAGGTATATTTTTGTTTCAGAAATATGTATTGCTTTTTTCATACTTTTTGCAAATTGTATTGTCAGCACTAGGTCAGTTAAAGTCCTGTGTGAACCATATCCTGCTGTGGGACCTTTGTACATGTTCGACTGTGTTCTGGATTCCAGTGTGGCATATGTGCCCTCCAGTGTCTTTTGCAAAGTGCAGAAGAGGTTGCTTCTACGGCCTGTTCTTAATATAACAGTAAAAGTTTTCACATTTTCTCAGAACTGTCATCTGGAAGCTCTTTTTTTCCTAAGGGTATTTTAATAACAAATACTAACACATTTGTATTGAAAGTTGGTATCTTGGAATGGAAGGACGGAAGAAAGCTCGCCTCACGGAGCTGTGGTTTGCTCTGCCCCTCTGACAGTGCTGCCGCCTTCAGTGCTGGTGTTTGTTTAATTTGAACCCTGTCAGCTGCTCTCCTGACTGGGCACTTAACGTTTCATAAACTAGTTTCCTTGGTGTGAAGGAAATAGAACTTTTAGCCACCCACTGCATGAGTTTAAACTGATTTGAATAGCCTAAGTAATTCTTTTGTTTTGTTTTGTTTTACTTAATGAAAATTTCCAAACATATTAAAAATAGAGGGAATACGCCCGCACACCCCAGGACCGCCCGTCAGCCTGACGCCCACCGTTGTTTTTGAGCCCAAGGCAGAAGATAACCACAGGTGTCTGATCCTGCGCAGCTCCCCGGCTTTCAGGGCCGTGAGCCCCTCCTTGAGTGGAAGGCCGTTGTAGGGTTCTTGGCAGGACTCAGAGGGACAGCTTCAAGGGCCTGAGGTGAAATTCAGAACCCGCCTGTGCACAGAAGCTGAGCAGCGGGCGTCATGGAGTGAGGTGTCAAGCACTTGCATGTTTGTTGGATATCAGAGAACAGAGAAGGCCTCCTCCCCCCCTGCCGCCCCTCCCTGCGGGGCAGTGGCACATTCCAGTGTTCTTGATGTCCACATGCCTTTGCCACTCCGTGAGCATCACTGGGCGGGAGGCACCACAGTGATTTTTGGTGGAGGTGGGTATCACCAGGGATGCTTGGCTGTGAGCTCCCCCACTGCACCACCCTTGCACACGTGACTTAGGTCTGTCACGGATATTCTGCCTCATTTTGGAACGCCATTCTTGCCTGCGATTTTCACTTCTGTAAAAGCAGAACATTGGGTTTGAATAGACCTTTGGTGTAACTAGCTATGGCAAGAATTTTTTGAGATGGGCTCTTTAGGGGTACAATGCCCTGAGCTGCTTTTGTGGCCTTTTCCAGAAGCCACAGAATGGCCCTGTAGATAAACAGGCTTGTGCTACAGAGCCCCAGCACTGGACACCTGGTGCGCAGGAGCTGAGGCGCAGCTTGTGGTTAATTAGTAATAATCATGTCCCCGAGCCTGTGCGGTAGGGGCTGTTTCTCTCATTTCACACCCCAGTATCCACCGGTCAGCCTGGAACGTGTGTGGGTAAGGTGTAAAGGGCATGTGACGTTCTGATTTGCCTGCAACATTTCAGTGGTGCCTAGTTGGAAGGCCAGGTTTACGGGTCCAAATTGTCCATAGCACAGAAGACCATCTATCAGGTAAAGCCTGTGGACCCTCTCGCACACAGCGGCAACCAAAAGGATTAACAAAAGGAGCACAGCCGAAGGTGAGCAGGTTTCCCCACGTGCGTTTTCTCACGTTCTTGAATGCAGGTCACGCGGCAGGCTCTTCCGCCCGGCTGTGACTCACGCTGCAGGCTCGCTCCAGAGCTGAAGACGGTTGGGTGCCGCAGTGCCTCCTGTACTTGGCTCTCGGTGTATTTGAGAAGGAATTTATGAGCTTAGGAACCGGGGAGAAGCGGTGCGGCCGCTGCCTTCAGCTGCCACCTGTCAGGCAAGCTCTCCACCTGGCTGTGATTGCTGCTTCCTGGAGACACGTCTGCAGGCTTTCCTCACACAAACACGGTTTTCTCTCTCATGGATCACAGTGTTTGACTGATAACTGTGATAATTTTCCCAACTGGCTTTGAAAGTGAAGCAAGCAGACCCGTCACCAAGGATTCTCTGCCGTGGAGGGTCCTGGAGGAACGGAAGAGGTGCTGGCGGTCACCACAGCCCAGGGTTCGTCCCTGCTCGTCTGCAGACTTGCGTGCCCATGCAGTCCTCTCTGGGTCCTCCGGGTTTAAAAATGTTGAACACTAGTTCTTGTAAGATTCAGCGAGTTCACCAACACTTTGAAAAATATAAACTGCTGCAGAGCCTGGAAGGAGGATTCCGGGCGGCACCCACGCCGCTCGAGCCCGTTTGTCCTCATTGCAGAGTTCATCTTTCGGGTTTCGAGCTCCGTCTCATGGTTCTTTGTCTTTTCCGGTCTGCTGTTGATGGGATTAGCCCAGCCCGAAAGGTGCCCAGCTTCGCAGGCAGCTCCCGCACGTGGTGTTCAGTGCCAGGCCTTCCCTCTTGCTGCTGCAGGTCAGTCGTGGTGGAGGAAGGTGTCATCTGTCAGTCTTTCTTTTTTTTCGGCCTCCTTGTCTTAAGAATTGTAGTTGGGCTGGAAGGGTGCAGGGCTAAGTGGGGTGCAAAGCCCCAGGCTCCTGGCTGGCTTGTCTTGGTTACAAGAAGCTGTGCTGGGGTCTCTGCAGGGGAGCGGGGAGGTGGAGGCTGACAGCAGGGGTGCCGCACGTGCAGCGAGGCATGGATTCGCTTTAAAACATCTCTAGCGGCGTCCCCTCAGAGCAGCACTGGAAATAAACAAGCAGACGCGAGGTGGGCCAGGCCCGGCAAGCGGGGGCAGCGCAGCCCTGCGGAAGCGGAAGGCTGATGGGTGCTGGCTGTGACTGCCCTGTCGGCAAGGCCACCCTCTGTCCTTGGAAACCCAGGTGTTCACTGTCTACTGTCCGTACATAATTTTTCACCTTAAGTCTCACAGATGCTTGGGTGTGGGGCTGTGCACAGAATCAACCAGAAGCCTGGAGAGCCTCCATCTGGCCGCTGCCAGCACCCAGCTTTACGACATCCCTGTGAGATGGACTCCTCACCCACCCACCATTCCCTGTGTGGCCTGTCCCTTCAGTCCCTCCAGACTTCGCTCAGGTGTCCTGGGGTGCCTCCTCAGCCCGATCTATTTTTTTTTTTTTGAGACGGAATCTTGCTCTTGTCGCCCAGGCTGGAGTGCAATGGCACGATCTTGGCTCACTGCCACCTCTGCCTCCCGGGTTCAAGCAATTCCCCCACCCCAACCTCCAGAGTAGCTGGGATTACAGGTGCTAGCCACCACGCCCAGCTAATTTTGTATTTTTAGTAGAGTTGAGGTTTCTCCATGTTGATCAGGCTGGTCTCAAACTTGACCTCCCACAGTATCGGGATTACAGGTGTGAGCCACCGTGCCCGGCCAGCCCAACGTATTTGAAGTAACACCCCTTCCCTAGCCCTTTCGTTGATTTGATTTTTGCCTACCTGCCCCAGAACATCAGCTCCAGGAGGAAGGGGACTTTAGGTAACCGGATGGCAGATGTCTGCTGCAGCATGATGTCCTTGTTGGAAATCACCATTGAAGTGAATGGAAGCGAACCACCAGAAAGAGAAGAGGACGCGATTGACAGCAATACGTGTAGCAGCACTTTTCCTGGCTGTGGGCGAGGGCTGTTTGGGGCGATACGCCTCTGCCACCATCTTTTCACCCTACCCTACATCAGCGATGGGTGAAAGCATGGCCTTGCCTTTTAAGGTGCTGGTGTCTTTAAGATCTGTTCATCTCTAGACTCAGGGAGCAGGCCCTGCCCGGGCAGTGGCTTGGGCTGCGGGAGACCTGAGGGCTGAGGGGGAGGGGCAGGGATACATGTGGTTCTGATCTGAGTGCAGGACCCCGCCTGTGGTCCCTGGACCCAAGGGTCGGCGGCTGTGGCCTGGAGGATGAACTGAGGTGGGCCTTGGTGGGGGGGGGGGTGAGGGCTTGAGGTGCAGACCCTGCCGCCTCCTGGGGAAAGGCGTGGTGGGGGGGATGCAGCACAGTGGGGTGGGGCTGCGTGGTCAAGGCCACCTTCCCCTGCTGGCTTCATCCTGGGAGCATCGGCTGCGAAGACGCTGGCCGGCGCCAGAGTTGCCCAGCTCTCCCATGCTTGGTCCAAGAGCTCAGGAGTGGACCCATCCCCGCCCTGAAAGATCCATTTTAAAAATCGGTGACCCTGGACTTCTGTCTTTGCACTTGGTTAAGACTTTATCCCTACTTTTATTTGATCGGCACCCAGCCCTGTGAGGCGGGCACTGCCATCACCCCCCATTTTATAGACAGAGGTCCCCATGGCTCCCTGTTGTGTCCAAGGGATGGGTGGCACCTCCAGGACCAGGTTCCTCACCCAGGTCCTTCTCTGAAGCCCAAGTCAGACCAGCCTGCACCGGGAACCCCCCGCTGCCCCCACGCTAACCTCAGCTGGGGCTTAGCTAGAGTGTGTTGGACCAGCCAGGGCAGCCATCGGCCCCCTTCCTGTGGGGCAGCAGGGAGGGACGTCAGCAGGGTGGGGCGGGCACCCGAGTGGTATGCTCCGCCCCGCGGCCCGCCCTGGTGGCCGTCTGGGGGCGACAAGTCCAGGGAGCACCAGACGGAAGCGCCGCTGGGACTGACACGTGGACTTGGGCGGTGCTGCTGGGTGAGTCCGGCTGGGCTGGGAAGCAGCCCCGGGACACCGCAGTGCCCACGCTGTCTGAGCACCCAAGCCCTATCAGCCACCCCAAGACAAGGCCCGCAGGGACATGGCCGGGGACACCCAGTGGTCCAGGTATGGCAGAGGAGCGGGGGTGGGGGTGGGGGAGCAGTGGGTGGTGCTGGGAGGGAGCTGAGATGCTGGCCGTTGGGACCATGGTAGATGGGGAGCGCTGAGCTGGGGCGGGCTCCTCTGGCTGCCGGGCCCCCTGTGCCCCTATGGGAGGTGGAAGGAAGTGAGTGCCCTGTCCTTCCTCCCTGCCATCAGACTCCAGGACCGGACCTGGCAAGTGCCCTATCCCAGCCGGTGGTCCTGAGGCTCTTCCAGGCAGGGCTGTGTCCCCCAGGCCAGGAGCATTGTCCTGGACACTGAGGAGGTGTAGCCCCACCAGGTGGGACCACCCTGTGTATACATGAACCCAGCAGGCAGACCCTGGGACAGTCAGGAGGCCGGGTATAAGGACACAGGCTGGGGCCTGCAGCTGGATCAGGGGTCCGGCCATCACATGCCAGCTGTGTGCTGGGGACAAGCTCCCAGCTGGCCTCAGCCCTCAGAGCATTTGGTGGTGGGGAGAAGTGGGGCCTGGCCAGCACTGCTGCTTGCAGGAGGCTCCCCGGGCAGGTGACGCCTCAGACGCCTGGCAGGATGGTGACTGCAGGCCATCGGCCAGCTGGGGAGAGCCTCTGTCAGAGAGCTCCTGAGAGCAGCCCCCACACTGCTGAACCCCCTTGCTCTGGGTCTGTGGGCTGAGGCCTCGAGTGGTTGGATCCTGGGCTTAGAGTCAGGCCCTGTGTGTTTCAGAGCCAGTGTCCTGCCCACTCTGAGTCCCCAGGGTACCTGCCCTGACCATGGCAAGGTAATGGCACCTTCTGGCCCCACCAGTTCTCAGCTGTGTGAGGGCTGAGGACCTGGGAAGTGCTAAAGAGTGGCAGGAAGGCCCAAAGGGGCAGTGCCACCATCGGACGTCGGCGCCCACATGAAGGGAGTGCTGGCTGCGTGGGAAAAGCTGGCAGCCCAGAGCCCAGCCGGAGAGTCTTCCTGTCAGGCCCCAATTAGAAGGGAGGGCTGCCCTCCGCCCAGCCTGCCCCTGCTCTCTCTGCCCTCTTCCTTCTCCCCCACCCAGGCCTGCTGGGCGGGGCCAGCTCCCCAGGGCTTCAGGGCCGCCTCACTGGCGGCTGGGTTTCAGGGGCCCCGCCTCCCTGCCTTCCCTCCCAGGCTCGCTGTTTAAAAGGCAGCCCTCACCACAGCTCTTGCCACTTCCTTTGCAAGGCCTTATTGGGCAGCGCCAAGGTCTGCTGGGGCAAGAGCCCTCCCTCCTGCAGCCACCTCGGGAAGCTGGGCCGGGCGGGGACGGAGCTGGAGGGGCAGCACCCACACTCGAGCGTCTTCTCCTGGCCCGGCACCGGCAGTTCCCTTTTCTGAATCGAGGGGCCATGTGGCCACCTGTTTGCTCAGCCGTGGATGCGGCTTCTGCACAGGGGCCGATCGCCAGAAGCCGGAGGCTCTAGAGAGTTAAGTTCACAGGAAGCAGCCTGCTGGGCTTAGGGAGTGCCAACCGGTGGGAGGAAGGCGTTCGGGCTGGTTCTCGGCACCTCCACCGGGATGGAGGATTCTTGGCCTGGGGTCCTAGTCTGCCCTCAGGCAGCCCTGGCTGTGTGGGTCTTCCTCTCCAGCCTGAATTCCTTGACTCCCAGAGGCTGTGGAGGGTACCCCTGTGCCCACCTGGCCAGCACCACCTGCCCGGCTCAGAGAAGGGGCTGTGGGGCCTCTCGGCCTCCACAGCCCAGGGACCCTTCACCCCACACATTTGCGGGAACTCCCCCCTGGCCTGGGGCCACCTGCTGGCTTGCAGGGGACTGCTTGCCTAGAAGGGCTGTTCTTGACTTCCTCCTCCTGAGGAGGCCAGGGAGTGGCTCTGCATTCTCAGCACTGTGTTGGCCTTGATTGGTGAGAATCAGTGCCACTGAGCTTCCTGCCATGTCTAACGGCCAGGCGGTGCAGGGCAGGGGCCGGCTGGACACAGGTGTCCCACCTCCCCCTGTTTATCAAGACAGAATCTCTGTTGCCCAGGCTGGAGTGCAATGGTGCAGTCTTGGCTCACTGCAATCTCTACCTCCTTGACCGCTCAAGTGATCCTCCCTTGGCCTCCCAACCGGGACCACAGGTGCATACCACCACACCTGGCTAGTTTTTTTTTGAGGGGGGAATGGAGTCTCGCTCTGTCGCCCAGGCTGGAGTGTAATGGTTTGATCTTGGCTCACTGCAACCTCCACCTCCCAGGTTCAAGTGATTCTCCTGCCTCAGCCTCCCAAGGAGCTGGGATTGCCGTTGCCTGCCACCACGCCTGGCTATTTTTCGTATTTTTAGTAGAGACGGGGTTTTACCATGTGGGCCAGGCTGGTCTCTAATGCCTGACCTCAAGTGATCTGCCCACCTTGGCCTCCTCAAGTGCTGGGATTACAGGCATGAGCCACCATGCCCGGCCCTGGCTAATTTTTAAATTATCATTTTTTTGTAGAGACGGGGATCTCTTTATGTTTCCCAGGCTGGTCTTGAACTCTTGGGCTCAAGTGATCGGCTCACCTTGGCCTCCCCGAGTGCTGGGATTACAGGAATAAGCCACCACACCTAGCCCTAACTCTCCTTTTTAAAGGCACCTTTGGACTGTGTGGCTTTTAGCAGAAAGTTAAGGGCGGGGCCCCCATGTCCCTCCTGCAAGCCTTGTATGTTCAGTCAATGGAAACTGTTTACAGAGAGCCTGGGGCCCGATAAATAACAGGCATCAGCCATGCCTGGGCAGGGCGTGGAGGCCAGGGCCGTTCTGGGCTAGGCCGGCTGGCAGTGAGGACTGTGTCCCTCTGTGGTAAACCAGGGAGCAGACCTGGTCCTCAGACCCAGGCCACAGCCAGGTATGGGACAAGCCACTTGTCCCTAGTGTGGAAGCTGGTCGCGAATGACGCTGGCGAAAGCACAGTGGCTGCCACGGCCCAGGACAGGCGGCGCTTTCTCCAAACTCCAGGGGTAATGGCTGACCCTGCTGCGGGGAGGGGCCTGGAGCAGGGACAGCCTCTGGCAGAGGAGAGGTGTCAGGACGCAGCTCTGGGCTTCTGGGCAGCCTGTTCTTGCCTCTGAGCTCTCTGGGCCTCCCTCTCCAGGCTTGGGAATGTGGGCTGGCCGGCCTGACTCGGTGACCTCAGGCACGGTCAGCGCCAGACTTGGTGGTCTTATCTCCCCTGGGAAGCGTCCAGGTGCAGGCTCGTGGAGAACACCAGGAGGACCGGGTCCCTGCCCCTTGGTCCACGGCACACCCTCATCTACTCACTCATCTCTGGAAGGTTCATAGGAGCACAGCCCTGGGCTGTAGCCGGCTCCCTGAAGGGGCAGGCAGGATCTTTTGGGAAGCGTGGGGTGAGACACTCCAGTATCCAACTCGCCTGCCGCCGTCTCCCGGCCACCATCTGCCCTGTTCTCTTCGAGGCCCATGAGGCCCCCTCCTCCTGGACGCCTCCCGTCCCTGGCGATGCTGGCTCTTGGCTCCTGGCTGCAGCCTCCTCAGCTAACTCCTGCCATTCTCTTGGGTGACTTTGAAGTCCACAGCGGCACCCTGGCCTTTACCCTTGATCTTCTCCTCTCCTTCACCCTTGACCTTCTCCTCTCCTTGGCCTGCCACTCCTCAGCCTTGCCCTTCATCAAGGCTTCCAGCACTAACACCTCCAACCTCTGGTTTGCTGGCCAGGACTGAGGCCCCAGGCTCAGAGCCCCAGCAGGACCCCTGGGTCAGCTTCCCCTCCCTACTGGCCATGCGCAGACCCGGCCCACTGGGTTGACTCTGGTGCTGTGTTCGCATCCGCACCCGGCGTGTCCTCAGGACCAGCCCCACCCCACCCGCAGCGGCTGTCCTGGTTACCTCCCCCACAGCCCCGACTCTCAGGCGGGCATCCTTACCTCCTGCTTCACAAAAATCGGAAGTGGCCAGTGGGAATTCCTGTAATTCCCCTCCCCCAGCTCGGGGCCAGGGTAGCGGCACTCCGCCTCCCATGCCCTGGCCTCCCCCGTGAGCGTCCGCTGAGCCAGTGCCCACCCTGCCCAAGGCCTCTGTCCAGCATCTGACTCAGCAAGTTCCAAACCCAGCTCCCCCGGCCACCTCCCCATCTGGGGCTCCAGTCAGTGCCTCCATCCATGCCAGGGCACGGTGAGAAGCCTGGGTATCCAGCAGACCTTCCATGCCCAGCTCGTGCTGCCCTGCTGACCCCCACGCCTCTGCAGCCTGTAAGCCTCTCCTCACATGCCCGCACGTCCCAGCAGCCCCTGGCTCACCCTCCAGGGTGCTCTAGCGTGGTGAGGTCACGCTTAGGAGGTGGCGGGGGAGGCCATGCACTCAGCAAGCCCCACTGGACTTCTGTGCCCTGGAGCCCGGCCTGGTCCTGTGCCCACCCTGTCTCCTGCCAGGAGCAGCTCCTGGCCGCAGCGACCCTTCTGAATCATTTCCACACCCAGCCAAGGCCCTGGCACCTGGAGAGGAGCGGTCTTCTCTTTTTGTCATTTGGTTTCTATGGGTCACTTTCTGCGAGCAGGGCCAGTGTCTGCCTTTGCTCAGAGTGGCCATCCGCAGTGCTTGCGGCGGAGGAGGGCGGGAAGGGCATGTGGCTCAGTGGACGGGTCGGGGGATGTCTCCGGAGCCTCCCGCCCTCCCGCAGGTGCCCTGGGCAGGATGCTTGCAGTGCCTTGCTCCTGGACTAGTTGTTACCTAGTGACCTTCCCAGCCAGCTCTGCCGCTCAGCTGAGCTCCTGACCCTCATGTCTGGTCGAGTGGACCTGTGGCAGCAGGTGGGGTCTGGAGGAGCACGTCAGGTCTTTGTTTTGAACTTGCAGCTTCTCTGTAAGCTTGAAGTTGGTTCAAAATATAATCCCTCCGTTTGGCACGGTGGTTACCGGGAAGACCTGGGACCTTAAGGCCTCCCGGGCAGAGTGGTCGTTCTGGAGGTGTCCATGGTGCTGCAGGCCTCAGTGCCTTGAGTCGGGGGGCTACTGCCCAGAGCCGCACCTCAGGGTCCAAGGCTGGCTGACAGGTCAGCGCAGAGGGCTTCTCCCAGAGGACACGGCTGCTCAGGGCCAGGGAAGGGCTGCGTCTGCATTGTGACCTCCATCTGTGCCGTTCCTCCCTCTGACCCTGCTTCTCAAAGCTCCCAGTGTGCCAGGGCCCCAGGGCTGCCATCCTGTCCCACCGCGTCTATCTGTCAGGCCGGGTGCAGGGGGCCCGAAAGTGGAGCCAGTCCTAAGGCCTGAGGTGGGACTGGGGACCCTTCCCACTCCCTCTCCCTGCCTTCCTCTGTCCCCTCCCCTCCCCTCCCCTCCTCCTGCACTCCAGGCCCCTGGCCAACCCTGGACTCCCCTGGCCAGGAGAAGGCAGAGACCGACCCCAGGTCACCCCCAGGTGCCAAAGGTGAGGGGGTGGGATTCATACCCAGCTTTGCTGACCACCCACGCTGCCAGGAGCCCTCCTGTAACCAGCATGCCAAAAGGAGGGACTTTATTTGAGCCAACTTCATGCTGTATTGAGAAGCTGCAAGTTCAAAACAAAGACCTGACGTGCCCCCCCCCAGACCCCACCTGCTGCTCCGGGTCCACTCGACCAGACACAATGGTTACGAGCTCAGACAGGCCCCAGAGCCCTCCAGGGGACCCGGTGCCCCCATAAGCCCCTCATCAGAACCGAGGCGGGAGGAGGGAGCCGTGACCTTGGCTCAGCCACAGGACCCAGTGACGGAGCCTCCCCATAGCTCTCTTTAATCAGGGACAACAGCAGCTGAGGAACTTCCCGTGCGCCCGCCGAGTGCAGGAGTCAGAGGCCCTGGCTGGGAAGGCCCCACCCCTGCCCAGCCGCCACCGAGGGCCCGGCCATCCTCCTGGCACTGTGTCCTCTCCTGGCCACTCGGCCCCGCCTGCCCCAAGGTCCTCCGCTGGGACCTCCTGTGCTGCCTCAGCCCTGCCGCCCTGGGGGCCCCTTGCCCAGCACACTCCGCCCCACAGTTGGCTCTCAGCTGTCATTCCCTCCAGGGCCTCCTGGGCCGAGGGAGGCTTGAGAATGTGGCACCTTGGGTGCTGCTGGTCCTCTGCTTTGGGGGCCTGGGGGCCTGGTCACAAACAGGGCCAGGCCTAGGCACCTTTAGTGGGGACGCACTGTGAGCAGCCCGTGCTGGCCCCTCGGCTCCTCCCAGCCACCACTGTGCCTCATTTCTGGCTGCCTGTGTTCTCCTGGGGGTCAGCAGACAGGTGCGATTAGGTGTTTGAATGCTTGCCAAGCTGCCCTCCATCGGAGCTGTCCCCATTCACAGACCCACGTCCCGCAGCTCTGGGGGAGGTCTCTGAGTGACAGGCTCGAAGCAGCAGGGCCACCTGTGGGGCCTCCCCTGGGCCTGACCATCTCCTCTCCCGCAGGCCAGAGTGCCAGGTGTGGACGGGGACGCTGCTGCTGGGCACGTGCCTGTTGTACTGTGCCCGTGCCAGCATGCCCATCTGCACGGTCTCCATGAGCCAGGACTTCGGCTGGAACAAGAAGGAGGCCGGCATCGTGCTTAGCAGCTTCTTCTGGGGCTACTGCCTGACGCAGGTTGTGGGCGGCCACCTCGGAGACCGGTAACTGCCCCTCGTCCCCATCTCCAGGCTGGTGGGGGCTGCCCCACTGGGGCTTCTGGGGGCAAGTGGGCTGGCTCTGCTGCTGCACACGGAGGAAGCAGCTCCTGGGGAAGGAGCTCGGTGGATAAATTTGGGCAGAAGACCAACCTGGAGGAAGATGGGAAGGGAGAGGCCAGGCTCGGCAAGGCCCCAGGGTCCTGGAGGCAGAGGAGGTGGGCAGCTCCCTGGGAGTACCTGGTCTCCTCAGGACGCAGCTCTGGGGTGGTGAGCAGGCCCTATAGAGGCAGACAGGCCAGGCCCAGCCCCGAGCACCCATTCGAGGGCTCCCCTGAGTCAGGGTGGTGTCCCTTGGTCCTGCACAGCCACATCCTCACCTTCATCTGTCTCCCACTCAGGATCGGGGGTGAGAAGGTCATTCTGCTGTCGGCCTCTGCCTGGGGCTCCATCACAGCTGTCACCCCACTGCTCGCCCACCTGGGCAGTGCCCACCTGGCTTTTATGACCTTCTCACGCATCCTCATGGGCTTGCTCCAAGGTAAGGGGCGCTCAGGTGGCCCCTCACGCTCCGGCACCAGGTGGGGCAGACAAGGAACTGTGCTTGGATGTCTGTGTAGGTGCACGTGTACCTGCAGGCGGTGTGCAAGTGTGTGTGTATAGGCATGCCCCTGTGCATGTGTATACCTGTGTGGGTGCATGTGTGTGTCTGCACGTCTGCATGCAGGCAGTGTGTGCATGCGTGTGGATGCCCGTTTGCATGTATACGTGTGTGTGCCCATATGCATGTGTGCATGTGTGTGCCCGTATGCATGTGTGCATGCCCATATGTGTGTACATGTGTATGTGCTCGTGTGCATGTGTGTGCCCGTATACATGTGTGCCTGCATGTGTGCCTGTATGCACATGTGTGCATGCCCATATGCATTTGTACATGTGTATGTGCTCTTGTGCATGTGTGTGCATTCGTATGCATGTGTGCATGCATGTGGGTGCCCATATGATGTGTGCATATATGTGGGTGCCCGTACACATGTGTGCACATGTGTGCATGCTCATATGCATGTGTATGTGTGTGTGTGCTTATGTGCATGTGTGTGCACCTGTATGCATGTGTGCATGCGTGTGGGTGCCCATATGACATGTGCATGTTTGCCTGCGTGTGTGCCTGTATGCACGTGTGTGCATGCCCATATGCATGTATACATGTGTGTGCTCATGTACATGTGTGTGTGCCTGTATGCATGTGTGCATGCGTGTGGGTGCCCATATGATGTGTGCATGTGTGCGGGTGCTCGTATGCATGTGTTCATGTGCGTGGGTACTCATATGCATGTGTGCATGTGTGTTGTTGCCTGTGTGACCATCCGTGTGCCTTCTGTGAGTGCACACTCCCTCTGCAGTGACACACAGGATCACCTCGTGGTGAATCTGCTCCTGCCCTCGAGCTCTGTCAGCAACATCCTAGTTCAGTGGTGGAGTCCCGCTTCGAGGACCCTGCTGTGGGACTTTGGGTTTTGTGCATTTTGGCCACACATATGCTGACGATGCCTCCCATACTAGGGCCTTGGAGCTCCTTGTCAGGAAAACAAGGTGGGTGGGGTCCCAGGGTGCTTGTGGGGGTGGTCCCTGCTTGGCTGGGGTCTGCTGGAGAAAGAGTGAGGCCTCCAGCCTGAAGGGCCTGCCCGCCCACCCCAGCCTGCCTGGCCACCTCATCCATCAGTAGTTCCCGGGCCAGGCCAGTCCTCCCCCACTGTCCTGGGCCATCCAGACCCCCTCTTAGGGCTCCCCCTACCTTCCTGATCAGGCATGAGGTTCGGGGCCCTGGCCATGGCTCCCCTAGAACCTCTGTCCCCCCACCCCTGTCTCCTCCAAGTCCAGAGACTTTGGGGAGTTCACTCCCTCTCCACACTCTCACTCCCTGAGGTCATGGCCTGGAGGGTGCTGCCTGGGACTCTCTCCATAGCAGAGGACGGGGTTCTGCCCAGGACGGAGGCCACTGTCATGGTCACAGATATCACATGAGAGCCAAGGCCCCACCACCAGTGCCCACCCAGCCCGTGCATGGCCCACCATTAGAAGAGGGTGCCGTGAGTGTGAGGACTTAGGATTGTGTGTTTCCTGGGGGGCCCCCTCCCAGAGCTAGCCCCTCCAGCATCACTGCCTCCCCAGGCACTGCCCCGGGCCCCTCTGGGGAGGAGTTGGAGGAGGAGGAGAGAAGTGAATGCATCAGCAACCGCTGGAAGGGTGGACGGGCCTGTGGGGGCGGGGTGGACGGGCCTGTGGGGGCGGGGGCTCATCTTTGTTTACTGGAGGGTCTTCAGGGTGAGGGAGGCAGGTCCTGGGGCTGAAGCTGTGTAGAAAACAGCAGCACTGCCTCAGACCGGGCTGACTAATGCCTCCCAGGGGTCGCTGAGAAGGCCTTGGCTCTGGGCAGGTGGCTGTCCTCGCGAGTAGCTCTAGGGACCCAGCAGGACAGCCAGACCCCGCGGGCTCGTGCCAGCTCCGGCCGGGCTTCCTCTGTGGGGCCAGCTTGTACTATGATGACTTGGCACCTGAGGGACATTCTGTTTTCTAGAAACCTTCAAAGTCTGGCACGTCTCAATGTCAGGTGTCATCCTGTGCCCACGAGTCTACTTTGGGGGTCTGGGGGCCGCATGGTGGCTGCGTGGTAACCGTGGGCATCCCCTGCGGCTGGCACGCGTATGTGCACGCTGTCCTCAGGCAGAGCGGAGACGCCGGGGGTCCCAAGACCCGTGGCTCTCACTGTGGGGGCATCAGACTTCTGGAGGGAGCCCCACGGAGCTCCAGCAGGCGGCCCTCAGCCTCCCCCCAGGGAGCCAGGAAATGGACCTGCCTCTGAGCTGTGAGCCCATGAGCTGGCGCTCTGAGATAAAAAGTCACAGGCGCTGTCCAGGCAGGCACTTCCCACATGTGGCCAGCTGTTTCCAGCGACCTGTAGACAGGGGCCATGGTCGTCACGGTGGCTCTGTGGTGCCTTCCCTCACAGAGCCCCTCCAGGCCGGGCTCCAGAGCCCTGTGAATGTGGGGTTACATGGAGTTGTAAGGCAGTTTCCAACTTTTTGGTTTTTGAGACAGTTTGCTGTGTTGCCCAGTCTGGAGTGCAATGGCGTGATCTCTACTCACCGCAACCTCCACCTAGTGGGTTTAAGTGATCCTCCTGCCTCAGCCTCTTGAGTAGCTGGAACTACACACCACCACACTCGGCTAATTGTTTGCGTTTTTAGAAGAGACGGGTTTCACTGTGTTGGCCAGGATGGTCTTGGTCTTCTGACCTTGTGATCCACCTGCCTCAACCTCCCAAAGTGCTGGGATTATAGGCAAGAGTCACTGCACGCAGCCTCCAGACTTTTAAAGTGGCTGGAGAACGCTTGGTCCAAAAGAAATCAGTTTATAAAACAGGAAAAGACAGGGACAGCTTTCCTGGGGGAGTGTGTCTGTGTGTGGGGAGTGTGTGTCTGTGTGTGGGGAGTGTGTGTCTGTGTGTGGGAGTGTGTGTCTAT